GCGAAGGGGTAAAACCAAGGGGGAAATAGCGGACTCCTGGACTCCTGAAGTCCAGGAGTCCACTCACAATAACACCTTGAAAAATGAAAAATTCTATATCTCCTCAAGGAAACGCATTCTAGGCTTGAAACTTTCAGCGTAAATATTAGACTAAGGTAAATATCATGTGTGAAAGTTTCAAGCGGATACTCTTGAATTTGACGGAGTTTTGGATTTTTCAATTTCTTGGGTTTTCCACTAGGAAAATTAGAAAAATTCGTCTAACTTTTGAAGGAAGCAAATTGCGCACGATTTCTCTTAGGCTTTTTCATACCTCCATATGACCTGTCGAATGGCATATGAACGAAGGAAATCGGAAGGGGACACCTCAGGGGGTTCCCTCGTAAGCCCTGAGTTCTGCCACATTGTTTAAAATTATACAGAAAACATGAAATTGTGACAATTGTATCCCTACGATATTCTATTTAGAGATGAGATGGTGTTCGTAAGAAATCGCTATCATTCACACATTTCGTAAGACGTGTGTAAGATCCCTCTTTTCTTTTCTTCCTATATGTGGTTAACATTCGACTCAAAACGAGACCAAATGAATAACGTTATTCGCTTTTCTTCCACTCGTTTCACATTCACCACAGAATAGAGCAGATTGAAATAGTGCTTTCGTTTCTTTCCCATCTTTCGATTGTTCATATATGACGCATAGTCTATATTACTGTAGGCACAGAAAAAATAAAAAGAACGAAAAAACTTATATGAGGGAGAAGAGAAAAGAAACATGTCACGCTGAAATAGCAATGATCGTCTGAAAGAAACAAATTTGTAAAATTTGGTAACATAAGGTTAAACGTATCTAGAAAAATGATGTTGGGTGTTATATATGAATGATTCTGATAAAAATAGTACCGTTCGACTGACGTAAATGATCCTAAGCTTTTCTCCTCTCAGACTAGATGAAACAATTTCGCATTTCTCGCATATACTCGTCAATGTTAGACCTATAATTGTTGCAAATATAGCTTTTCTATCTTTAACTATTAACGAGTTAGAAGCAAAACATCTATATCTAATCGTTATTTTGCTGTTGATTTTCTTGTGGTTCATATGAGTCAGATTTTGTAAATGTAATTTTCTCTGTCACTTTGTGTGGAATGATATTTTTTTTCGCTCGCTTGTCTAGAATTTTCTTCGCTCTATTCAGCTACACTATTATTTTGTTCCCAGTATTTCGGGTTTTTTCTCAAATTTGTTCAGAATTCATGGTTCCAAAAACCAATTTTTTTTCTCCCGTAACCACATATTTTTGGGGAGCCCTGATAAGTTATTTGGTCTTCATTTTTCTTATGCCAAAAGTTGACTAAATATGTAGAATAGATAACAGCGAAAACTGAATATTTCTGTCACTTTACTAATGCTCGATGAGGTTTGACCAACAATTTGTCCCGTAATCACCCACTACATCACGCCTCAACTGAACATGATAATAAATTTCTCTTTTTATCATAAGTGTACTCTAGCCACACGATGATCCTGTAAAAAGGACAAAGACTGAAATTACTTTAAAAGTGAGTAAACTAGGAAATGAACCGTTTTCTATTGATTTTTTTTTGTAGCTTTAACGTAACACGTCTGAACAAAGCCAAATTTTTAGTATAAAGGTTTTACAATGTGGAGAGTTTATGGATGTGCATAGACAACGTTCAAATGGGGAAAAAGGATTTCTAAAAAACTAGCGATACTGGAAGCTTTGTGAACCGTTTTTGAGTATACCAGTAGACAGAGCACACTTTGTAATCTATAATTATTTATGTTTAGAGCAGTCCCAGTTATTTATACATGAAAACCATCAGAGGAGATCTTATCTTCGTGCATTCAAAATCCACGGTATTTTGAAAATCCAGGACGCAGAGAAGTGGTAGTTTGCAAACTTGCTTTTTCTGCTACTACTAGGTACTATCGACATATGATATTCAATTGCTCAAGCCTTTGCTTTTCATTTGGTCAAATTTTTGAACATAAACGATACTATTTTTATCAGTATCACTCATATGCAGTACAGTGTTTCATAATCATAAGAACGCCTTTGTTTTTGATGTTTTAGTAAAAGCTGGAATCAAACTGATTACTGATTTGAATAGTCTGAAGATTTTTCTATTAGATGAGGTGTGTATCATCATATTATGAGAAAACTTGATAATAGGGTTTCTAGAAAAGCTGAAGGCTAGAAAACCAAGTATTTGGTTTCTAGTTAGAAGCTATTGCAAACCGTACAGTCCTGTAGAGCAAATAATTCTGAACAAAATAAGATATCTTTCAGCTGTCTATGACGCTTTTTCAGCAGAATATTTTGGCTGTTTTCCCGGAAAATTTCGTACTTTTCACCTTTTGTAAATCGGCTTCATTTCAGTGAGAAAGCGTCGTAGACAACTGGAAGATATCTTATTTTGCTCAGAATTATTTGCTCTACAGGATTGTGCGGTTTGCAAAAGCTTCTAACTAGAAACCAAATACTTGGTTTTCTGGCCTTCAGGTTTTCCAGGAATCATATGACCAAGTTTTCTCATAAACTGGCGATGCACACCACATCTGATAGAAAATCCGTTTCGCTCTTATAGTAAAGTGATGGGATGAAAGAGGTGCGTAATATTTGTATGTCATTATATAGTAGACATTTGAGTACTATATACATTAAAAATATTGTGGTACCATCTCTAACAGTTTCCGGGAAATCAAGAATTGATGTTTTTTCTAAGGAAATTTCTGTCCTCTGGAAAAAAATCGTATGTACCAGGAAGGAAGAGTACACTAAGGCTAAAAACTTGGATTTATAGGTTTTCACACATGCTTTGCACAATGGAATGACTCTTAATGGTTGAATTTTCCATTTTTCATTATTATGAAATTACCTGTATCTTTTTTTAAGTTTATATATTAATCATGACATCAATACCAGAGTATGATTATGAAACGATATACGGTTTTGCGAAACAATTTAAAAACCTTGAAGCAGTTTTGATGTATGTAAGTCTTCATCCAGAATCGTTAACCCTTATTTGTAATCATAACTGGAGTATTTTACATCAAGTAGTTTTTTCTGGTATGGTAAAGGAATTAAATCAACTATTAGCATTACAAAAAAAAAATGGATATTTTCGTTTATTATCGCCAGCAAAGGATGAGACTACTGTACTGGATATCGTAGAAAAGACAAAAGATCAGCACCCTCGTATGTACAAAAGGATCAAACATTTAGTGGAATTGGATAAATTATTAAATCAAGCTAAACAGTGTGACTGGTCAGCATGTGCAAAAATTATAAATGACAATCCTGATTTTGTTAATGAAAAACCACCGTTGCTTATATTCAGAAAACTTCACTATTTAAATTGCTGTGTTCACATTACTTAACCAACTTCACGAACATTTGGTGACACATTTTCAGAATAATCCTATATCGACGTTTTTATTTAGCTCATCATCTTGCTTGCGTAGGAAAATTAGAGGTTTTCAAATCTTTTGCAGGAATCCCAGATTGTGAATTTGATTTGAATTTGAAGGCCGATAATAAAACAATCAATCAGATTGCTCGTGAATATAGTCAGAATGGATTTGCTGAATATATTGAAGAGCTCAATCCAATATTACGAAAAAATCAAGAGTATGTCGAATCAGACAAACCGTCGGAGAATATCCAACACTATTCACATTTGATTCAACAAAAAACGTTTTTATCTGACGATGATGATAAGGATGAGAATTGTAAAAATACTATAATTTCAAGAGCAAATATGGATGCGAAGTTTTTTAAAAGCAAACCATTTATGGCAACAAATCTCGATGATATTTTACAATGTATTATTTGTCCAATAAGTAAAGAAATTTTCGAAGATCCAGGTGAGTGAGTCTACAGTGCTGGACAAAAGTTTAAACCCTTTTTTGTTTTTCTTATGTCTCGGCTCGTTTTATAGCTAGACACAAAATTCTTTCGACATTCGAAAGCCCGTCGCTAACACTAGTTAAACTGCAAAAAAATCATAGTGATCGGCCTTAATTTGCAGAAGTTATGACGAAAATCAGGTTTTGCCACAGCCTATAAATTTCGGATATTTGCAATATTTTGAATTTTCTCACCTAGATATTTCATTCGAACCGGTTTAAAAGCATACTATTCCACGTAGAATTTTATGCTCTACAATCTGGGGAAAAAGTTTTGTCCCATCACCAATACTTAATGAAGTATGGTACCAGAAACCTAGAAGTATGGTGGTACATCAAAAAGTCGATTTTCCCTGTAATGTAACAAGTGAATCTCAACACCAACTAGTGCATTGGAAAGAGCGTAAACAACTGAGTAGGAGAATAGGTTTTTCGATTGGCAAGACTTGATTTTAATGGATAGTTTAAGACCTTCGGAGGGTTTGATGGCTCATTGCCTTATAAAAGTTAATCTATTCAACCAGCTAACCATTTTTTAGAATTTTTTATTGAATTGTATCTTAAGCAACATAAAAGTTTCTCCACAATGACACCAACTCGACATCTGTACGACTTGAAAGGACAGAGATTGGGACGGTTTAAGTTAAAAGTTTTAAAACAGTGCCAAACACCGCTGGAAATAGCACCATCTTGTATAATCGTAATTTAGACTTCTTTGAACTCCGCCATTTCAAGGCGTGCAGATGCGGGGTTGGTGTCATTTTGGAGCAAAATTTATGCTGTTTACGATGCAATACAGCAAGAAGTTGGGAAGGACAATTATTAAGCTGAAAAAACTGGATTTTATAAGGCGATGAGTCATTGAAATGATTGAAGGTCCTAAAAACCATACTAAAACCTAGTCTCGTGGACCAAAAGATACAGCACCTTACTCAGTTTTTGCGCTCTTTCCAGTGCACTAGTCGGTGTTGGGATCGCCGCATGCCTGGGAGACTCAACGTTTTGGTGCACCACTACAATTCGACGTTTTCTAATTAGGTGCTGATGGTGGAACCAAATTGTTTTCTCAGATTGTAGAGCGCAAAATTCTACATCGAGTAGTATGTTTTTACCCGTTAGCTAGAACGGTATATATTAAGGTAGTACTTATACCAGAGTCAGAACTATTTTCAATAAGAATCATAGGATGAAAGCCATCTTTTTAAACATATTTATTTATAAACTAAGAACATTATTTATTGAAACATTCCGTTTTGGACTGTAGAATTTAGTTTTAGTGAAAGTGATCAGTTTGTATAAACAGTACTAGGAGTAGTAAGAAGTTCAAAACAAGTCCATCAGCGGACTCTCTTTTATTATTCGTTCAGTTCCATTAGAAGCTACAACACTTGAGAGTTTCAACTGTTACGGTAAAACGGAATATCGACAGCTGGAATTTCGCCATCTGAATTTCGGCATTGTCGTTTTTACTCAAAATTTTCGACATTGTTGAATTCAGATGGATTTTCGGCTCTCGTCTCAAGTCCTTGTAATTTCGACAATTTTCGAAAATCCTTTGGGATTTCGACAAATTACTAAGTATTAGTAAAAGTAGTTCAAGTAGCATAATATCAAAAAGATTTATCATGATGTTCACACTTATCTAAACCAATAGATTAAAACAGAATCAGTGAACTGCAGTCTCTTCTAATAAATCACAAATGAAAATAATATGACAAAATAAGAGTTTTCTTTTTTCTTTTTCGCAGATATCACAGAGAAACCAAAAAAAGTAGACTTTGTGTATCTCACAGGACCTGAAAACAAAAAATTATTATTATGCACGGTGTGTGCTATTAACAATTTTGCTTCAGGTGCAACTGAAAATTACTGTCGAAACTCCGTTGGATTTTTGGCAATTGTCCAATTTCATTGTAAATACGACAATGCGAAGAAAATCATATCGATTTTCGACAATTGTCGAAGTTGTTGATGGCATTGCTCTGCATATTCGACAATACTGAGAAAATCCTTCGGAATTTGTACATTATAGATGACGGTGCTTTTATAAGTAGGAGTGGCAAGCTACAGTCAGTTACTTTTTCGTAAGGTTACTTGGTAACGTCTAACATCTATTTATAAATACTTTCTCTTTGACCAGGAACAACAATGTTTTCTGTTCGCTTTATGTGTCTCCGCTGACTTAATTATTGAAAATTATCATTCTCTTTCTAGTTATGGCTGCCGATGGATTCACATATGAACGTAAATGTATCGAAACATGGCTAAACGAAAGTAATCGCTCTCCAATGACAAACGAAATATTAGAACACACACATCTAATAAAAAATAAAACTGTAATGCATATTTTGAATGCCATAAAGAGTCAACAGTAAAGCAAAGAGGCAAGCATAATAGATCTTGAAAGTATTATCATTTTTTTCGACAATCTTCTTTCAACTCACTTTGCCAAATATTACTCACAAGTTTTTTTCGATTAAAAGTTAAGTTTATCTATATACATTAGGGACCATTCAGAGATTTAATCAGGCTGATGAATATCTTTTAGGCGTAAAGCTGAACAGAAAAATACGAGAAAAAATTTTTGATTAAAGACATGATAATATTTATTATGTCTAATTGTTTGCTAATCAGTATTTTTTTTGCATGATGTTTGTATTTACTAGTGAAGTTTATTTTCAACTCTATTTGTTTAAGAACTTATTCAAATAAATTGATAGATGTTTGTTGTGATTTTCGTTTAGCTGGAGTTACAATTAATCTGTCTTTCTACATGTTAATTGCGTCTAACAAAATGCAGGGAGCGTGGATAAATGGAATAGGATGAAGCAACCTACAATAAAATAGCTCAGGATACTGTTGCTATTCCTCTACCGTTTTTAGAATGACTTAAGGGCTCTCCCCTCAGAAATGGTGATTTTCGGTCAAGAATCAATTTTGAGATAAACCCATGGAAAGATAGCATAAAGTGTCTACTTTTAGAATCTGTACCGATTTTGGTTATAGGAGTGATTTTTCATGATTTTCGAGTAAGTTTTCTAAAAGCCTCGAAAAACAGGGTCTTCAAACAATAGTTTTTTCCTAGATACTCATGCAATTAAACTTTTTCTGAACACGTAGGTTTCTAGAGAAAACTATTCTGATTAAAATAAGGCCTCGCACAACTCTGTATGTCCTTGCGTTAAAAATTTACAAGCATTTTCCTACAAGTCTCAAAATTTTCCGTTTTATACAGCGTTTAAGGGCCCTCCTTAGACTGAAATCTTTTTGGATCAAAAAATCAATTCGGAGACAAGCACATGGAAAGATAGCCTGGAGTGTCCGTATCGCTTTCGGGCCTAGAACTGATTTTTCGTGGTTTTCGAGCAAGCTTTTTAGAAGCCTTGAAAGCCAGGATCTTCGAATAATAATTTCTTTCGGGGAAACTTAAGCAAGTAAATTTTCTCTGAACACGTAGATTTGTAGAGCAGACCTTTTTGATCAAAATAAAAGACGTTGCACAACTCCGTGTGATCTTCCGTTCAAAAATTACAAGCATTTTCCTACCTGTCTTAAAACAGACCAACGAATGCACAGCGTTTTCTCTCAAAATACGTTTTTTTGTCTAATCCTGTCTACTGTAGATCCCTTTTCTTAAATAAGAGTTCATCGTAGGACAAAATGTTTTTAATGGATAGAGCTTAAAATTCTGCGAGGACTGATGGAAGCAAATGTTTTAATTAGGCCTTAGTTCCTTAGGAAAAAAGGAACTTTGGAAAACTTGAAAGGATCTCTCAGAGTTTTCTAGGATCTTGCGCCTCTAGAGAATCAACAAAGGCCTAATTAAAAAATCTGGTTCCATTAGTCCTCCCAGTTAGGTATCTGGTTTAAAATAAAAACAACTTGAGATCTCTATCTTGAGCTGCATTAAGGACAAGGCATTTACAGCGAAGGGTGGTTTACAGTCTTGGACTTCAGAAAACTCCGAAACGGTAACAAACAGAGAGTAAAAAGAATATTGTGATCACACCTTTGGGTGTGCAACATTCGCTGAAAGTTTCATCAAACTCAGATGTAAGAGAAAAAAGTTTTTTTCGGAGGGGGATCCTTAATACAGAGTTTTCTCTACATGGGAGTCACACCTTAAGTATTTCCCAAGATTTTTTAATATATTTCAAGCTAGAGAGTTCGGATTTCTTTTATTTTAAACCAGATACCTAACTACATGGGATGACCGGTGTCGATTTTTCAGTTAGGTCTTAGTTTTTGTCAAATTGACGATTTTTAGAAAACTCAGAAGGATTTTTCGGGTTTTGAAAGTCGTTGGTTGTCTGGACAATCAATAAAGGTTTAATTGAAAAATCGGCTCCGATCAGCCCATGTAGTTAGGTGTCTACTGTAAAATAAAACAAACCCGAACTCTCCAACCTGAAATATATTAAAAGATCTTGGGAAAAAACCTCAGGATCCTTTTTGGACCTTGATCTTTGGAAAACTCCTAAACCGTAAGACTTTGAGACAAAAAAAGTTTTCTTTTCCGTTACTCATTAAACCTAGCATTTACGGAAAGTTTGGCCAAAATCTGAAGTGCGGTGTCAGAGATAATTTCTGAGAGGGGGAGGGGCCATCAAGCAGTCGCACGTAGTGAATGAAATCATATTAAGGCGCCGGAAATTCAAAGCTTACGCAAAATTTATTTTTATGATATTTACACATGGTTGGATAGAGCTCGTCAAGCTGAACAAGAATATGTATCAAAACCTTTCGAATCAAAATTTTAATGTCGATAATTTTAAAATTTTAAAAAACGACTTTATTTCTATAATATGACCTAAGCAATTTTAGTTTTTCATCAATAGCCAAAATCCCGTTCATGTTGGCTCAAAAAGCGTCAAGTCTCTCTGGAGATGAAGCCAATATTTTTATATCATTCTACTCGCCATATAGCACTAAAAAAGTTACACATCGGTTTTAGAAAATATTGTTC